GCGAGATCGTGACCTGGCTGAAGTCAGATGCTTAACCGACTGCGCCACCCAGGCGCCCCTATTTTTTATTATTTTAAAAAAATATATTTATCTTAAGAGAGAGAGAGAGAGAGACAGCATGAGCAGGGGAGGAGCAGAGAGAGAGGGAGAGACAGACTCCCACGTAGGCTCTGCACTGTCAGCTCAATCTCGGGAGTGGTGACATCATAACCCAGAGTCAGACCTTAACTGACGAAGCCAACAGGCACCCCTACGTATTGATGCTTTATAAGTTTTAACAGTTGGTAGGCCAGATGAGTGAGTACTCTCGCATTACTTTTCCCTCTCTCAAAATTTTATTGGCTAGTCTTCTGAGTCATTCTTTCAAATGAACTTTCAAATGAATTTCCCAAATTCCAATAAAAAACAAATTTCTTAAAAAACTTTAAGAAAGAAAACAAACTTTTTTTAAATGTTTATTTTTGAGAGAGAAAGAGACAGAATGCGAGTAGAGGAGGGGCAGAGAGAGGGAGACACAGAATCCGAAGCAGGCTCCAGGCTCCGAGCTGTCAGCACACAGCCCGATGCAGGGCTTGAACTCATGAACCATGAGATCATGACCTGAGAGGAAGTCAGATGCTTAACTGACTGAGCCATCCAGGCACCCCAAAACCCAAATTTCTACTTGAAATTGTATCGTAGTAGATTAACTGGGGGAGAATTTACAACTTTTCAGTATTATTCCATTAGGATATCCTTTCACTGGTTTATTTCATCAGTCTTCTCGCCGAATGTCATTTTCTTTAGTCTAGCCTTTAAAAAAACTGCCGTCTTTTTCTTCTCTTTTTCACAGAAATCTTTTTACTGAAGTTGCGAGTGACCTCTTATTTTAAAATTCAGTGGGACACCTGAACTTGACCTGTCCACATCATCTGAAGATCTCTTCATCTTGAATGCGAAAACATGAAAAATAAAGCTGGTTTTAATAACTGCCTATATTCATGCTTAATTTGCTTTTCAGATACATATGAGGAACTCTTCTAGCAGATTCCTTCATAAGCTGGACTCATAAATGCTCTGTTTAATCTTTACATTGAATATGGTCTTTACCATTATTGCTTTACTTTTTTTTTTTTTTTTTTTTTTTTTTTTTTTTTTTTTTTACATAACTTGATCGAGTTTTATTGTATCAATTCAAATTTAGCTTAAAGATTGTTCAGTTACTCCCAAGGAATTCAATATGTTGATCTCGTTGTTTAGTGTGTAACTAAGGAAAAAATGATAGAGCAAAGACTTGAAATAAATGGTTGTAACACCTGAAACAGATATTGACACAAAGTTAGTTTTAAAATCTTACCTTTCCACATAAATACTTTTGCTGGTTCCCAAAGCATATAAGCTAGTCAGAATTCTATAACATGACACCTGTACATCTTCCACTAAGGAAAAATAAAAACAGAACAAAAACACTTGTTATTGTTGTACGAAATTTTAGAATAAAACCAAAATTCCATATTGAGGGCATACTTATGTTTTAGCATTTTTAAAAAAAATCAAAATTAGGGGTGCCTGGTTGGCTAAGTCGGTTAAATGTCCGACTTCAGCTCAGGTCATGATCTCGCAGTTCTTGAGTTTGAGCCCCACGTCGGGCTCTGTGCTGACAGCTTGGAGCCTGAGGCCTGCTTCAGAGTCTGTGTCTCCCTCTGTCTCTGCCCTACCCCTGCTCATGCTCTGTGTCTCTCTCTCTCAAAAATAAACAGACATTAAAAAAAATTGTTTTTAAAGCAAAATTAGAACAAATAGATATGTAAAATGAAATAAAAAATTATTTCTCAAACAAAATTCGTTTCTTTAAGGAGCTGAAAGCATTCTATGGAATGGACTATAATTATTCGGAACATTCTCAGGAACATTTTAAGAATAACTTTTCTGTAGATGGAAGAAAAAAGGATTTCTTCAAGAATAAAATTAAGCACAAGAATATTTGGGAAGGTCAGGCAGATTGTGTCTCCTGTTTTGAAGGTATATAAAGACTGTGTCTTTTATTTTAACACCTAAGTGAACAATAATGAGAGTGCTGGAGGAGGTCATGAGTTACTTGTTTTTGACCTGACATTCAAGGCATCGGGAAGCCAATCTTATAGAGAAGCCAGAAACTAAAATAAAACCTTATAGGTGATCTATGATCCGATAAGTCATGTTTAAAAGGCAAGAAAGAAAATCTAAGAACCTTGGATTTCTAATCCCAACTCTTCTAGTATTTCCTGGAGAATATACCATGACATGAATGGAGAAATCATCCTTGCCCTCCGGACCTGGTTCCGTGTCCACACTGCACTGCAGTGCTCCTACAATGGTTCAAGGACATGTGCTGCGAGTAGTGGCTGTGTTATCCACTGAGTAACACAGTGGTTTTCACACACAACCGTACTTCACTGGGAGACCTACAAGGTGGAGAGTCTGAGTAGGCATGTCATTAAGACCCACTTAACAAGGGCTTACATCTCTCACGCTCAACATCAGTAGGAGAGTCGGAAATTGGGACAGGTCACGTATCATTGTGTTTCGCATTGCTATTAGCATTCTGTGGATATTTTTAATAATTATGGAAATCTATGCAAAAATAGCCGATTAAATCCATAAAAACAGACCAAAACCTACAAATAGAAAGCGTGTGAGCCACTGTAGTAGGCCAATTGTTTAGCCACGGACTTTGTCAGAATTACAGCTTGTAGAACAATGTGCACTGACTCAGACGTAATTGGAAAACAATGTTGCACATCCCGTGCTCAAACTGCATTAGAAAAATTCCATGGAAAGAGGGAACAGAGAAGCAGCAAAATTTGGAACCTGCACTTGAACAAGGTGGAAATGACTGCCCACCACCACTACCTTCCTGGTCCCTTCTGTGAATGCATATGATTCAGTGATCTACCTCTCTAAGAATGGTTTCTGTAACTCAAATGTCAACCGAATGTTCTGGGGGCAAAAAAAAGAGTGCATTTCAATGGATAAGCAGCGCTTGATGGGGCTTTTACAATTTCTCATTGTACTATTAGATAGTGAAAGTCTAAGTAATAGGTTTACATACATATTAGATCTTCTCCGAACTGATGCTGGCCAATATGCTCAAATAATGATGACAGCATTGGCAACAGAGCCACCGTGGTATAATTGATAATCTGAGTAACACCTTTGGGTTGGTTTCGGGTGTGGGTGAACTGGCCCTGCTTGAGATTCTCCATTGTCTTCTCCAGATCCTCCGCCGCATTGTCCAGAAACGTTCTGAGCGCACTTTTAACACTCTCCAGGCCAGTCTTCATGACAGTCCTAGCAATTAGAGAAGGGAGAACAGACACCTTGCAAAAGGACCAAGTGGAATAGAAATAACACATGCTTCTACTTTGGTTACTTATCCGTGACTTTCACTCAGCCAATTACTTTAATTCACCCTCAATAAACTTTTTCAACGTACTTGAATTTACAGTAATATATTGCTCTGTGAATGCATAACCTTTCCCAAATGTCTTCACCGTCAACTTAATGAGGGCCCAGATCAAGAGGCAGCACTCATGCTCTGTATTTTCTAGCAATTTTGAGTACTTGTTTCATAATGAGCAAAACACAGGTTTTGAGCCAGCTGATCCCCAAATCCAACACAACCGAAACGGTTTCTGAGGCAACGGCTGTGAAAGAAACGTTGAATCCCTGCTACACCAAGTCATTAAATGATGTAAATGTTTTAGGAGTGAAGTGTAGCCATGAGCTAAATGAGCCTCTAAAGGCTGAACTTTGTACAGAAGTGACCCCCAAATGCCACTATTTCTAGTAGGAAATGAAGGGATCTAATAGCATCTACTTTTTTCATTTATTATACAAAACACCTCAAGTAAAATTTTAAAGGCAAAAATAAAGAACCCAAGAGTATCATGGGGTATTCTCTGTAGGAGACATGGAGGAATTTTTATTTAGATCTATCCTGGATAATAAGTGAAATAAATGTATGACTTAAAGGCTGAATCAATCCTGCGAGATACACGGATTTGGTATTTAGGCAAACGATTGGGTTTCCAGTCCTGTGGCTGGGAGGGCAGAGTAGAAAGTACACAGACTTGGGAACTGGCCTACTTCCACACTTACTATGCAATCAAAAGCTTCACTTTGCTCATCTGTAAAATAAGAATAAAGCTCATGTCCTTATAAAGCTAAATGTTACCACAAGTGTGGAACACCAGTTACCACACCTAGAAGCTACTGAGACCTCTGAAGTTGCAGCTTACCATCATCTTTACTGGACATGATACATTCCCGCTTCAACCTTCAGTTACATACCTAGCTGCTACAGACATTGCTTGAAATTTAAATAACGATATATATATATGATCATAAAAATAACAGAATGCCATTTATTAGTAATTTATAAAATACGTTTTCACCCACAAGTGTTTATTACAATTCCAAACACTGAAATCAAGAGACAAGGAATGTCTTAATATTCTTTTAAGTGTAGCACTACTATGCTCACTTAGACAAAAACATATCCATTTACCTTGCATCCAAAGTCTGACCCAAAATATGAAGACAGTTGACAATTGATGTGGCATCATTTCCTAAAGAGCAAACAAAATGCTATATAAATTGCCCGGAGGATTTCTCAGCGACCTTTTCTGGTAATATTTGTGTACCAAAAATTAGTCAACAGTACAACCCGACAGTAACTCAATTAACAAGACTTTTTGATAATCAAGTTCAAAATCATGCGGTTTTTCTGCTCGAAAGTGGTTATGCAAATGTAAGTAGAAAAGCAATAAAGCATGTTTCATCAAATAGCTGACATACTCAAGAAGCATTCAAAGCACTGTGCCAGGCTGAAGTGTTTTAACTGAACTCTTCAAATATATTCACCTCCCCATATTGGCTCATCTTCCTCCTAAGTCATAATGTGTATCAACTTTTTAAAATCAGCTCATATCCTTTATGAACGAGATGGGCTAAAAGTCCCATAAATAAACTGAATTCCTTTGCAATTACCCAAGCGTCTCTGCTTTCTTATTCCATTCAGCTGCATTAGGATGAATTATTTTGCCCAAGTGTTTTTGGCCTTCAGTGGAAACCAGCCACCAAACTATCACGTAAATAAGCATCAGAAGCTGAAGAAGTTAAATCCTACCCTTCTCAGACACTTGAAATGGGATGGCTTTTCTTGAAAGATGACATTCACCCATTTTAACTGTGTATTTTACCAGAAAGTACAGAATTATGAATTACTGTACCTATTTGGCTTTGTGATGAAGATACATAATAGCAAATAAATAAAATGATGAATCCAAAGTTACAAAGTAATTTGGCCACTCACAATACAGTTTGCCATTATTGCTTCCTCATTTTATAGTTCCCTATTTATAATACATAGAGTCATTTCCCGGGTCCTGAGGTCTGAACGTACATTTTTAATAACATTTGAGTATGTTACATTCTTTAGGCAAAAAAAAAAAAAAAAAAAAAAAAAAAAAAAAAAAAAAAAAAAAAAAAAAAAAAAAAAAAAATCCTAATATATATGAAAATTAACAACTGCCTTAGAATCTGGATAAGACAGTTTCGTGATATGATATACATAAGAAAAAAGAAAACTAAGGTGTTCATTGCTAGACTCTGAGTTCTTTGATAAAATGTTCCATTCATCTCGTGCTTTGATTCTCAGAATTTCTGGTAATAATGAAGACAAAATCAGCAGAAAGGCAGAATTTGTTATGTCCCTGTCTATTGATTCATAGGGCTTTCACTGCAGCCCATGGAAGTATTACTCATTTAATTATTCATTCACTCAATAAATACATGTCAAATACCAGGCATTCTGAAACTTCCAGTTATAAGTGAAACAGAGTTCTCATGGTACTTGCATTTTAATGGAGGACACAGTTAATAAAATGTTAAGAAAAAAATCAATATGAACCTAATACCAGGCTACAGTAAAAACTATATATTTATATATATTAATTATATAACTATATATATATAGTTACACACACACATACATACATATATCAGAGAATAGGGATAAGAGCAACTGGATAGGGTAATAAGGTGAGTGGTCACAAGGCTGTAAGAAGGTGGCATTTGAGCAGAGATTTGAATGAACAAATCATGCCTATGCCTGGGAGAAGGGCCCAGGCAGAGGGAATAGCATGTGCAAAGGCTCTGAGGCAGAAAATGAAGCTGGTGTTCCACGTAAGGCAGTGAAGGTGGCTGATGTGTGATCAAGATTCGGGGGAAAAAAGGGGGGTATGAGGTAGAGAGGAGGGGACTGGCCAGGTTTTGCAATTAGAGCAAGAGGTCTGATTTTTTTTTTTTCAGGTGCAATAGAAAATATCCTTAGGTTTTGAACAGGAAGGGTTCTGGTTTCTGTTTTAAAAGGACTAATTCACACTGTGCGAAACTCTGGAAGGGCAAGAGTGCAAGTCGGTTAGGAAGGTGCTACAGGTCAATGACACTGAATTTGCATTAGGATACCAGCAGTGAAGAAGTTAAGAATTCATTTTAAGCCTTCGCTTATGGACTGAACGTGAAATGAGACGGATAGGAATCAGGGATAACTCCAAAATTGGGTGAGCACTTGTATGAGCAATTGGGTGAACGGTGGTAAGATTTACTGATGTAGAGAGAGCACAAGACAGGAGCGGAATAAGGGAGCTGGGGGCAGCTCAATCTGCTTCAGGTAGGTTCAGAGTGATGGGCCTATTAATGTCAGGTAGAGATGTAGAATTGGCTGCCAGTGCACACATCTGGAGTGCAGAGAACACAGCTGGGTTGGAGCTACACATTTGGGCCCCACAAGCATACAGATCCTTTGAAAAATCATGGGCCTGAATGAAATTGGCCAGCATGTGCATAAATACAGAAGAAAAAAAAGGTCTCAGGGCCTCCAATGTTTGGAAGTGTGAAAGATAAGGAGGAGACGGCCCAGAAAATGAGAAAGAGAAGGCCCAGGAGGGAGAGGGGACACAAGGCAACGTGTGAGACTCTAATGGAAGTTATTAGTTAGCCCCAAGTCAGAGAGGCTGGCCCCTCACTCTTTGTCCTAAAACTCAGTTCTTTTTCCCTTTCCCTTCCAGTCTGCTGTCTCCTCGTATAGAGGACCAGTGTTTGTACTTTGAGCCTTTTCCAAAGGAGTGGCTGGGGTATTGCAAACCTCCATTCATTATGAACTCGTGAGGCGGGATTTCTGTTCCTGGTGTAGGCCAGCCCCGAGAATAGTGTCCGGTAAACAGCAGGTATTCGGTTAAATCTTGTGGGCTGTGAAGAATAGGAAATACTACCAGTGGCCAGACAAGTTCTGGGGGTCAGAGGAAAATGCATAGGGCGTATGGGAGATTTCTGTGATTGTAGAGTAACCCACCATAAGCTCTGGGAATCGTCACATTTTGGTATACTCCATATTAGACGCAGTATAAATTTGAATGGAAACATCTCCGTTTAAAAAAAAAAAAATGGTGGGGGGAGGCCCCTAAGGAATGTAGAAAAAGTACAAATTGAATCTTCAACATCTTGTTGGGCAGACCAAGCAAAAGCATCAATTCTACCAGCAAGGGTAGAGGCCTAGCTTATGATTACTTTTGAAGAGATAAAGCATGTAGCAAGAACTTTAAATAAGAACCCCGTGCACCCCGCCCTTCTGAAGGCTCTCTGGATCTCCATCACCAGAAATGTCAATCACACCATCGGTAAGGACAGGAAAGGCTAGTGACAGTGGAGTAAGATGATAAAATTCTAAAGCGATGATTGTATTTTCATGTATTTAACTACATGTAATTTCTTCACTACTCGGACTAGAATAAAAACCAAAAGTTTGATACTTTCCAGCTTATGCTCTTTCAAGGTCCAAACTGCTTCCCTTGTCTTCAAAGGGAACACACTTTCCTTGGTCAGTAACTGACCAACACTTAAGAAAACACCCATGAGTTAGTTGCCTACTTGTCTCTGAGGTTGTGTGTTCCCATCAGTGCGTAAGCATGAAAGGTACATAACTAAAATCATAACCTATACCTGAATCTGACAGCAAGAGACGGCAAGCATTTGGTTTTTACAATGATTGTACCAACTCATAAAACACGACAACTCTCTAAATAAAAACAACAAAGTTAAAAGAGGTTAAAGTCAAAATATTCTTTTTGTATCTTAATCTCAATTTGTTTTGTGGTTTTTAATATAAGGTTCCTGTAAATCACGAGTTTTCAATGTTATTCAAAATCTGACGTGTGATGTCCTGCTTCTGTTCTGTAATCTGATGTTTCAAGTCACTGGGAAAGCAGTGACAGACTTTCTAATTTTTATTCTTCATCCTCACTTGTCTCCCATGGCTCTTGACACAATACCTCATTGTGTTTGCTTCTTTGAAGAAACGATTAATCTTGGCAGAATCCTCATTAATAATGTGAAATAAAACTATGCTAGAGGCACAAATTTCTCTCAAAATTAAGAGGGGATAAAAAGAGACTGAAAAGGGCCAATAACTTCATTACTTCCAAAGTCTGTGACACTGAACAGAATAAAATTATTGAAACTTTAACCTAGTGAGAAGTTTTAGTTAAACTGAAAATATATTTTAGATAATTACATATTCTATTTATTTACCCCGAAGTAAGTACATTCTCTCAAAGTGGTATGTTCAAAGGAAAGAAATATCTGTTATCACTCTAATACTATTTTCTGATACTATTTTCATGATAGGTCTCTAATTCTGTCGTTTCTCACCTATTTCTTCACAAGAAATGCGTTATTTTTTACATAGCACATAAAACAAGTTAAATCCAGGAAACTCTTGCCTTTGCTATGTATACTGTCATGAGACAACAGAACTGTTACTCTAGGGAAAGACCTTAACAATATTTTAGTGATTTCAACAATACTCAGCAAAAGCGGCACATTGTGCATAACTGAACTATTAAATTCCCAGCATAATGACATGTCCAATTTTCAGATATGCACTATCCTCAGAGACCCTGAGTGCTTTAAGTAATTTTCCTTTCATTATGTGTCCCATTAAACACAAGCACGATCTGAACCTTCTTAGGGATAATACATACATGTACTAGTTTTCTAATATCTCCTGATACAAGATAGCAGCCCTCATTTTAAACACTTGAATGGGTTTTGGGGGTGGGGAGATAACAGATGGGTCAACGTAAATTTAACACATTAATTTGTTAATCAGGGAGAGATACCAACTGATAGAATCTACTGTATCACTTTACTACTGAAACTCTGCAAACATAACATTAAGATTTACACGGCAGTTTAAATCAGGCATCTCTTCCTGGGGGGAGAAAACCCAACATTTTAACAAGAACTACTGCTTCTTTTAAATATGTGACAATACTGGGGCGCCTGGGTGGCTCAGTCGGTTAAGTGGCCGACTTGGGCTCAGGTCACGATCTCACAGTCTGTGAGTTCGAGCCCCGCGACGGGCTCTGTGCTGACCGCTCGGAGCCTGGAGCCTGTTTCCGATTCTGTGTCTCCCTCTCTCTCTGACCCTCCCCCATTCATGCTCTGTCTCTCTCTGTCTCAAAAATAAATAAACGTTAAAAAAAAAAAATATGTGACAATACTTACC